CTACTTCCGTAGTGATACTGCCTCGGAAACCCAAGGAGGGGTCGCTATGAGTCAGGGCTGACTCGACGGCACATAACAACAACAACAACAAGTCAAAATGTTACCCCAATTTGAAAACTGTATTTTAAGTAAACTTCAATCAATTTTTATTACTGGCTTAATATGATTTTTGTTTTAACAGATAACATCATGAGTTAACAAACACTGATAATTATTGAAGATGAGTGATGAGTACAAAAACCCCAAACCAAACCCACTGCCATACAGTTGATTCTAACTCACAGTGACTCCCTCCCATTGGGTGTTCAAGGTGGTAAATCTTTATGGAAGTAGACTGCCCTATCTTCCTTCTGCAGAGCAGCTGGTGGGTTTGAACCGCCAACCTCCTGGTTAGCAGTCAAATGCCTTACGCACTGTGCCACCAGAGTTCCCTGATGGGTATATAGGGGCTCATTATTGCTTGTACTTTAAACTTTTATGTTTCAAATCTTCTATAGTATTTCTTTTTAATAACATCTTGAGCAAACATTCTCAGGGAAAATGAAAAACCTACGTAACACAGGGTTTTCTGGGTTTTCAACGTACTACCAAGATACCTTGATTTTTTCTAAAGGGAGAAAGCCACTTTACCAGTAACTCTCAATTCCTATATTTAAAGCCTTACATTGAAACAGTAAAATCTGCCTCAGAGGAAGTTCTTTTTATAGTATTTCCATTAACAATTATTTCCAAACGGAATATACCAAGAGATCTAAATCAGAAGGGAGCATTATTCTTTCCCACCAAATCTTATAGCCTTATTTTAAGCAAACGGTCACATAAAGAATTGGATATGGCAGACACTGAGGGCCCTTCTTTCTCGGTTAATTTTCAGATCTAACGGTACAAGAAAGAAGCAGAGAGGAGGGAGAGCCCCAAAGATGGTAAAAGGAAAGGGGCACACAGTCCCAATGGTGCTAGAAGGTGCCCCATACCTAATAATCCTGTGTCATTACTCCGAAGGTTCCACAGGGCTTTCACTGCTCGCCTGGCCACCCACTCAAATGTGGAGTCCCCCAGCAGTCGGCTCAGAATCCCAAATTCCACCAGGAGAGAACCAGCTCCTGCCGTGCACGTCTCATTATTGCTGTCAGGAGGAACACCTGTCTTTAAATTCACCTGGAAATAAGAACAGACAAGGCTTTTGTGATGAAACTCAAGGAATCCATAGGGCTGAACATAGGACATAGTCACCACCCTTGACTAATGAACCCAGCTTAGTGCAGTGTGAGTCATATTCTGCCTCCAAGATGAATATGGAGTGACATTTTTAACACACAAACAAGATAATAAGAACACCAGGCCTTGTCTTACTCATAAGAATAAATCTTAGGAGAATTATTATAATGCTATTCACTGAATTCTTTTCATGGTTCCACAAGCAGCAGGTTTTAGGGTCAGAGACAAAGGCAAATTAGAGAATCACTTATAAATTTTAAGTGAGCTACTATGAATTCACTTCTTCTTGGAGGAACATGAGCAAACCTCAAGCTGGGAAAGAGAGAAGGCACAGCGAGAGTATGACAGCCTGTTTCATCATTGTGGCTCTGTGGTCTGGCAATTCTCTACTGGTTACCTAAAAGGCTGACTCAATCCCCTGAGGACTTCTGGGATCAACAAATCAGATGCCACAGAATATAATCTCATTCCAGATCCTGGCCTTAAATCACTAACTACCTTGCCAGTCAGTACAGGCTTTATTTGAAAGAACCTTGTGAAAGATTCATAAAAAAAGTCACTGAGCTCCTATAATATACATATGAGATCTTTGGAGGAATAGACCTGACTCAAAAATGAAGCCAAAACCCCACACAATTCTGTAACTGGGGATACAGAATACACAGTCTTAAGAATACAGAACATTGGAACATCAATTCCTTTGGGGTAAGAATTATGACTGATAGGTCACTTTATGCTCAACACACAGCAGGTGCTCAGTAAATGCTGAATGAATTGAAACACATCCAATTTAGGGCCAAGTTTTCCCCAAGACAGCACTTTTCTGTGCAACCTCAGTCCTACTCTCTCCCCCAAATAAATTAGTAAATAGAGTTTTAATTCAGAAAGACGAAGAGTAGTAAAATACAACCAGTCTACCTACCCGAGGATAGGGGATGCCTGTCTTGGTGTTTTCAAAGGCAGGGAGGAGTCGCACTGCGAGATCATGAGCCATGTGCAACAATTCATTATCATAGTCTTTAATGGTCATGTCACCAAATGGCTGCCTAGAGTCTGTAATTATTCTGTGGGCAGAAAGGAGGCTTCCCAGGACCCTATTGAAAGGAAGAATAAAAATAATAATAAAATCATGCTGGATATAAATGCATACAATCCAATTCAGAATAACAGAGGAAGCCTGTAATTCCTGATGGACTCAGAACCACCTGGGGGCAGGACTTGACTTTTTTTGACCTGGGGGCAGAAGGTCTCTAGAAGCCCCTTCCAGCCCTAATGATAACCGAACCATCCTAAGGGAACAGCATTACTGAATGGGAGAAAAAGGAATCATTCATCTGGGGCTACCACGAATAATCACACTTAAAATAATAATTTGTTTGATAATCTTAATCATCTCATCAAAAAGAACTGTACTAATTCTTATCAGAATATTGTAATATGATCAGATGGGGCCTGGATACCACTGTCAACCACTCGGAAAGGGATCAGAATAGGAGATCCTGTATTGCATGGGAGAAAGCTGTTGAACAAAACTCAAAATTATAGGAGTTTAGGTAAGATGACAGAATAGGCAGAAGGACTGCACAGACCCTCATCAACAAAGAAAAGGGGAACAAATTAACACAGATACAGAAGATAATCCTGGACCCCTGAACTTTGAAGAGAAAGATATAGAAGTGGACTAAACTCCAACTAGCAGAAGAATTTGCATGAAAATACCAAAAAAGGAGACATATGGAGCTGTGGTCTGGCAGCAAACCTGACAGCACAAACAGCTTGGATATTGCCAAGGAGTGGTAGGACCTAAGAATTAACCTAAAAATCAGCCCTGCTAGCCAAGGACTGCACAGAGGACTGCTCTAGTGGGTGGGAATAAAAGGGAAATCAGCAAAGAGAAAGGCTGAGCTGTGGGCTTTTGCCTATCCAGAGGGTGCAGCAATTTTGAAAGTTTACAAGTGGCATGACCACTTTGGATATTTAAAGTGACAGCGTTCTCCCAGATTCCAGGGACTTAAGAATAGGCTCCACTTGCTGGGAACCACAAAGATATCCAGGACCCACGGACTACTGAAAAGGTGCAACATTCCCCTTGTTACTCTCATATCTCACACCCTCTTGGTGAATGGAGGTGCTGCCATCCCTCACTCCTATCCACTTTCTAGGCTGGCAGGAATTCCATCCCAATCTGTGTGCTCGGCACTTGACTGCTAACCAGGAGGCTGATGGTTCAAACCCACCAGCTACTCCTCAGAAAGAAGATGGGGCAATCTACTTCCGTAGTGATACTGCCTCAGAAACCCAAGGAGGGGTCGCTATGAGTCAGGTCCGACTCAACGGCACATAACAACAACAACAACTGTGTGCTCGGACAGAGCCTGGATGTACTGCCCTGCCCTGTCCAGAGTTTTTTTTTCCCTTTTTTGTTTTTGTCTGTTTTAAAACTACTACTATTATTATTACTTCTGTCCTTTATGTATCATTCTTTATTCCTCCCTTCCCAGATTCTAGTTTTCAGCTTTTTTTCTTTTCCCTGTTCCCGGTTCCAATTTTCTTTTTTTTCTTTCTTGTGGATAACTAAGATCCTTGTTTTTCTTTTTGTGTTTTTCCCATCTTCTTCTTCATTATTCTCCTTCACTACTTTTTTCACTTATTGCCCTCTCCTCAGATATAGTGGTATTTTTTGATTTGTTTTGTTTTTTATTTTTTTCCCTTTTCTCTTTTTAGGTTACTGTTCCTGTGTGATTCCATAGTGTGTTTCTTGTCCATTTACTTTTGATGATTATTCAATTGATAACTGAGTGGGAGATAGCAACAGTCCCCATACAACACAACTACACCCACACCTCCTGTAGCTTCACTTACTGAGTGAGAGTCACTACCTCCCTTCTCCACCAACGGACCTACGATAAACCACCACCAAGAAGAGCCTGACTCACCCTTAGTTGCTCTTCCCAAATACTTAACAGAGATCTAAATACAACAAGGTAAAAATATCTTGGAGACAACAGACCATCACAGTCCACACAAAGAAGCAAGATACAGTGGTAGAAACAAGGGAGCAGGATACAGATCCAGAACACATCTCTGAGGAAGAAACAGCACTGGAACTCTCTGATAAGGAATTCAAAACAATTATATTTAGGTATCTTGAAAGAATTGAGAGAGAGAGGTCAAAGAAAACACAGACAAATCCCCAGAAAATTTTTGGGAAAAATACAAGAACAAAATGACAAAATAAATGAAAAATTAGAAATGATTCAAAATCTACAGATAGAAATCCAGAAGATTAATACTAAGTAGTCAGAAAGAGATAATACATTGAAAGGGCAAAGGAGTAGAACTGATGCAATGGAAGACAGAATTA